AATGGTCGGTTTAAATGTTTGATTTTGATGCTGTGAAATGGGAGTAAGGAATGGGAAGGTTCGAATAAGAACCGACAATATATTTCTTGATTCGACATTGAAGGAATCGATATTCTTGAATTGATTTGGATATTGATTTCGAAAGCTTGGTTGTGAGGATCCATTGGGTATCGACATGGTCACGGATCGTATCTGGTTTCGAAGTGAGATGATGAAGAAACAAAACATGTCGATTTGAATCCTCTAACTTTCAAAGAAGTGACAGAAAAGGTCCACATTCGAAATGGGGATAAAAGTTTGTGTTAAATGCATATTTTTTGTTTCGAATCCTTGGTGTTTTAAAATATTTGCAAAATTTATCCAACTTCCAAATTTGGCTAAAAATTCTAACAAGTGGAGGATTTTTCGAAACAGACCCCTGCAGTTAATGCGAATCAACACTTTATGCCCAACTTTGCAATTGGGGGAGTGTTTCGCATCTAGGGCTGTTTGGGGCGCACCGGGTCACTGCAGAATTTCGAAATTGACAGTTTCTACCTAAATTTGTGAAATTTTGTCAAAGGCGGTCCATGAACGAATTTGAAAATTGAATATTTTTTGGGTTTTCTGGATTTAAGCATAATGTTTATTTCATGTGTTTTGGGGGAGTTTTAGATAGAAAAATTTTCAATTGAGCGATTTCTCATTCTTTTTTTGGTTTTATAATCATTTATCGATTATAAAAAGGGGGAAAGATTTAGATATGAAAATTTGAAAGTTGAATTTTTCATATTACGCGGACTTGAAGAGCAAAGTAACCTTGAGCAACGAAGTTTATGAAATGATTCAGTTGGAGATTCGTAAGTGATTTGGGTTTTCTCGGTTTATGATGGGTTTGGATTTATTGAAGATTTTTGGGGTGTGCAATTATGCTCAAATATTGGGTATTTTTTTTTTTTTGGAGATTTGGATACTCCTAATTACCCGTTGATGCTCGGTTTGTATGGTATCACACACTAGAACCCGGATTGACAAAATCATTGAAGAATTGAAGATTTGAAGTTCATCTCTACATGTGTCACGTTTGAGGCTCAGTTCATGAAGTTGCTCGATTTTGGAAGATTTGAAGTGGGTCATCAATTCCTAACTTTGAGGAGGAGAATGTTGGGATAAAAAGTTATCCATGTATGAATTTGTAGTGGTTTGACTCTTGTAGACCCACTTGCATGTGGTAGAGTAGCCTTGTGACATGAGAGACAGATAGATAAAGAGAGAGAGAGAGAGAGAGAGAGAGCGAGAGAGAGAGAGAGAGAAAGATAGTGTGTGTGTGTGTGTGAGTGAATGACATGTAAACACCTTTATATAAGATGGATTCATACCACTTGTAGAGGTGTGCTTGAGAGATGTAGTTCGTTATCACTAGTGAGTGGGATATTTATGTAGACTAGATCTAGATCCCTTTTTGTACTCATTCCTATAATCGAATACATCTTTTATCACTAAAATCACCGTGTTTTTTATGTTCTTTAATTCCGCATGCCAAATCAAATGCTCATAATTCATATCAATATATAATAAATTAAGAGGACACTTAAGATCAGTAAAGTCTTACTGTTTAGGATTTTGGCCACATAATTTTCAGCTTTTGTCAACAATTGTCCTTTCTTTCTATCATTTTATAGTTTTGGCGCATATCTTTTATGGGTTGAAGATTTTTCCCTTACGCCTAAATTTTTAAGTAGGCCTGGTTTGATCCCTCCACCACCTTCCTCACCCAGTCACTTGCTACACCGTCACTGCCATAAATATTATCCAACAAAAATTAAGAAAAGCTATATGCTCCTTTACCCTCCACTCGATACCCCTTATCTTTTCTTCTTCGTTTCTATTTCACCTGCCTTCCATAAGGGTACACCGATGACCAGGAAGACGAACAAGAACAATCATAAGCATCGATGTATTGTTCCTCGAAACTCTGTCGACTCTTTGATTCTGATTCTTCACGTCATCCTTTTGATATCCGATCAACAATCCTACAGTTGGCTCTGTGTTGCCCTAATTTTCTGAGATTAGGGGTTTTTAGGGAACTTTAGTTCCGTCTGTGTGGCTTTCGATGGGAAAAAAACCCAAGGTGACTTGGGTCTGAATTTTGAAATCGAAGCAATCCGAGGTGGTATGGCAGACTGAGAAACTGGAAAAAATCGGAGGCGACAGACAGAGAACCCCAACGCCCATTCCCTCTTTGTCTTCCCTGTTAACAAAGACCACCTTTTGTGTATACGCTTTCACTTCTATCTCTGAAATCAAATCAGGTGTCTTTCTCTCTGCTTCTAAATTCTCCTATCTACTTGTAATTTCTCCTCAATTTGAATAGAAATTTCATCATTTTATCTAGCTATAAGCGTGGAAAAGAAAACAGTTGGCCACCAAACTCTGACTCAGCCACTGACAGGGCTTCAAGATGGAGATGAAACATCAAGAATACTTCTTAGACTAATCAGAGCAACACCTATCCACGAAATTCCTTTCGTTTTGGCATGATTAAGAGACATGTGAGTTTTTCATTCTTACTTCCACCATTTGTTTTGGTAATTTACTGTTTATTTGGATTTGACCTTTATTATTAGAATAAGAATTCAATTGTAGAATGTAACTTTATGTTCTTTGTGATTTTTTTATTTAAACACCAGCTGCTTGACAAAAATCCTCAATGAAAAATCTGGTCAACAATGTTTCTACTTGGTAAAGTTGAAACAAACTTATAGTTATGGTTTCAGTCCTATTTATTTAATCAAATTTTATGTTCTATTACTTGCCTTCAGGTGGTATAGGAGGGTGATCAGATTGATGTACTTACATGGTGGAACTTTAGATTTTCTTTTAGATTGATCCCCTGTGTGGTTATTTTCTTTTGCAAATGAATTGAGTTGCTTCAGTCTTTTGGAAGAATTTGTTCACTAATATGTGGTTTTGTTGAATTGTTTAGTATTGGTCATTTAGGGAAGGACATATAGAGTCAAATTTGAAAATTGGAAAAATCTTGCTATTTTTAAGTAAAAGACTTCATTATTTAGTATTTGCACATTTATTCTAAAAAATGTTTGATAATAAGTTTGTATTTATGTCTTTGGTATGTATGTTTCAGGTTGGTATTGGTTTGAAGGTGGCAGATCAACTTCGTTTGAAGTTAAGAAGTGAGACTAATATGGACCCGACATGCTAACTTAATTAACAGGCAAACATCAATTAGGTTACTTTGAAGTTGACTATCGAAAGGTACAATCCGGGTTCTATATCTTCATGTAATTGATTTTTTTATAAGTATTATTTTCCTTTGTGGTGTTATACTATAGTTGAATCCGTGTTATTTATTTTGTCATTTACGATATAGATATTGCATATTGAAAAATGGTTGAGAGGTGGCTTATGTAATTTTTGTATTAATTTTGTTGATAGAAACATCAGATCAGGCAACTTGGACTTAGTTTTATTTTATGTTTTTTTTTTCATTAAAATGTTTTTGTTTGATCAAATTGTCATGTATAGTCAACAGTAGTACTTAAATTTTGTTTGTTCTTTGGACATAGATTCGTAACAACAATAAAGTATCTAAAATTTAAAGTTAAACTTTGCGATTAACAGAAAAAAGAAGCAACTCAAATAGCTTTGAAGGATGAAATACAGTTGATGGTGAGTTAGTTCATTACTTATTTTTATTTATAGATGGAAGCTGCAAAAATATTTCATGTCTATAGTTTCTATGGAGTTTATACTCCACAACTTTCAACCACATGAGATTGAATTTCCAACCGTTGGGTTGGAATCTGTGCCAGGTTTTTTCTTATTCAATGACGAGAAGTATGCAAATGATTCATGAATTTTTTGATCTCCTTGTAGTGCCAGAAAAGTCTACAAAAACCATAATAGTATGCAATACAAACATCCTAAGTAATTCTAATATATATTTTCACCATTATATATATATATATATATATATATATATATATATATATATATATATATATATATGTATATATATATGTGTGTGTGTGTGTGTGTGTGAGAGAGAGAGAGTGATAGTTTTCGTCAATTATTTCACATTCCATTTTCACTCTCCAGAAAAACTACAATGAAGTCCGACCAATTTGAATACTCCAACCCATACGGAGCATGGCGAAACTTGATAGTTTTCATCAATTATTTCACCTTCCACTTTCACTCCTTAGAAAAACTACAATGAAGTCCGGCCAATTTGAATACTCCAACCCATACGGAGCATGTTGAAACTTTTCTAGTTATAATTAACATATAGAAAGCATATAACAATTTATAGAGAGATTCATATCAAATATATTAAATTAAAGTAAATAATACGTATGAAATTTTACACGGAAATATGCTCCAATAGAGATCAATTACAAACTAAAATGAAAAATGTGAACATGTATTGTGCAAATATCAATACTTTGTAATGAATTCCATTGTTACAACTAGTTTGTTTTGTTAATCTTCTCCTATAAATCTGACCGGATACAAGGTTGGTCAATGGAGACGAACAAAGGCGATGAGAAAGGCGATCAACTGATGGGGTAATGTTTGTCGGAGAGGACCATTGATTCCAAACGGTGGTTAGTTCATATAACATTCAACATAATGATAATTACAATTATGTCATAAATAATCTAAACCATTCACAATTTTAATCTAACGTGTTTCAACTTTAGTTCTCAGATTTTAATAAAACTAATGATTCTCTCATTTTCTCTCTCTCTCTCTCTCTTTTATATATATATATATATATATATATATATATATATATATATATATATCGCCGTTAAAAAATACTAAGTCAAAATGTGTATATCCATACATGTGTGGCTTTTGTCGAATATGTGTTCCACACGCTTCAAAATTTATTAATAAAGTTAATTTATATGTCACTAAATGGGATTATTAATTATTTATCCACACGGGAGTTCCTCTATATATAGCAATAAACAGGTAGAGCGAAGCACGTGTAACTTGAGATATCATACTATAATGGAACCTAGTATGAGACCAAACAATATGAAGCTTTCTTTTATTTTCGTTTTCACCTTTCACTTCTACTTGATTGTTTTATCTTACTCCAAATCAATTATCAAAACAATTCCAGGATATGCAGGAGATCTTCCTTTTAAACTTGAAACCGGGTATGATTTTCATCTTTTCTTTATTTATTTATTAAACAAAGAATCGAGCTACCAGCGATTGGTAATTTATGTATACGTGATTAGAAATCAAATATTATTTGTTATCACAAATAAAAATGAACAAAATTATTTGGCATAACTCCACCATTGGTTGAGGTTTTCAATTATGTGAAGGCTCATTAGCTAAAATAGTGATAATACATGACTACATGTCATAAAGATTCAAACAAATACTCAAAACATGCATTCATATAAAAATAGGTTCTTCAACCACTATGGCATCCTCGATTTGTGAGATTATGGGGGGAGAGGCTTGCCTTATGTGAATTGTTAAACATAATGCTTTTTAGTAATGTGTAGTATTTTGTCATGACCATCCTGATGCGTTTAAAATTTGAAATTGGATCGGCTCAGATAATATTCTATCTATTTATCCTGACAATTGTATAAAAGGTATATTGGAGTAGGGGACAACAAAAACGTACAATTGTTTTATTACTTTGTCGAATCAACAAGGAACCCACAAGAAGACCCGCTTATATTTTATATTCCCGGTGGACCAGGTGCTTCTGCGTTAATCACATTCTTATATGAATTAGGTATGTTTTTATTGCTAGTTTTGAAATTGCAATTTCGTTACTTTTTTCTTTTTTTGACTTTTATATTTATAATTTATAAACTTAAGAGCTTGCACTTTAGAGATTTTGACGGTTGGATAATTGAATTGAAATTTTGGATATAATAAAATTTTCTATGATCCATTTTAAAATCGACAATGAAAATTTTTCGAATATGTATAAAAAAATTTCATTATTTTTGAATTTTTTAAGTAATATGTTCGAAATATATTCAAAATATTTATAAAATAAAAAATATATTTTTTTTTAACATTTTTCTAAATACTATTTTTTTATTATTTTTTTTTATTTTTATTGATTCAGTGAAAAATAAAATTTCTTGAATTTTTTTCCAATGTCTTAGATGTAGCAAATATTTATTTATGATATATATATATATATATATATATATATATATATATATATATATATATATATATATATATATATATATATATATATATATATATACACACAGAGAGAGAGAGAGAGAGAGAGTGATTTTTTTTGTAACCAAAAGATTTGTGAGAACTTACGAATAATCACAGTCATATGAACTGCTGATGAGCAAACCAGCAGTGCATATAACTACTGATTGTGTGCATACATACAAATTTCGAAAATAAACAAAATAAATTATCAAATATATTTTTTGAGCCTAAATATAGTTTAGACGTACCATTTTAAGAAAATTGATATTTTTTATTTTGAAAATGATAAGTTGATTATGATTTTCTTAAGTTCATGTTTTTTTTTAATTCTCATAATAACTCAACCATATATATATATATATATATATATATATATATATATATATATATATATATATATATATATATATATATATATATATATATATATGGAAAAGTGAATATACCCTTAAGGGTATATAAGCTTAGGTACCCAAACTCATTATAATACGTCATTTTGTTTAATATATTTATTATAATGTTTTTAAACTTCAACCATTAATTTGATTTACTTTCAAAATTTTCGAAATTTCATGTTTATCTTCCTCTTACATCATATCTTTTTACCGAACACCTACTGGTTATATATATTATAGTTGAAAATGAAAATTATATAAAATGAATATAAATGTGAAATTGATAAAAATCTTGGAAGTAAATCAAGTTAGAAGTTGAATTATAAGAACATTGGACAATTACAATGTATATATATGATATAAAACGATGTATTATAGTGAGTTTGGATACCTAAGCTTATATACCTTTAAGGGTATATTCACTTTTCCCATATATATATATATATATATATATATATATATATATATATATATATATATATATATATATATATATATATATATATATATCACCATTAAAGACTACATGTCGCCTACTAAAAATTTACAAATCAAAATGTATAATATCTGTGGATTTTGTCGAATACATGTTCCACACTCTTTAAATGTGGTGACAATATTACCATTCAAAGATTAAAAGTCAAAATGTCTATATCAATACATATGTGGCTTTTGTTAAATCCATATTCCACACTCTTCAAATTTGGTAGAAATCATAAGATTGATACGTTCATAGATTTTGATAGTGAGGGTAAGTTAAGGAGAACATGATCATTTTGAAGTCTTATGTTATCCGTTAGATGCGTACAATTTTCTTCAAAACTGATTTGGATTAAAAGTCTTCATTATATATTCTATATGTTGTTCAAACTTTGAGAAATAATTTTCAATAAGAACTATTAACATCTAGTTGAATTTTATACAGTACCGGCAGAAATAAAGTTATAAAACTGGATTAAACTAAACAGAATTGAAACGGACTGTTTTGCTGTACCACATAACGACTACTTCACCATTGTCACCTACCATTCTTATTCTTTCTAAATGATGGAACCCTAATCAGGAAAAAAAAAATAAAAAAAAAATCAAAGAATACAATCACAATAACTATTTTGTTCTTAAGCAAATATATTGTATGTAGAAGTTATCTTGGTGCAAAAAACATTTATGATGCAACAAATTTTGTATTAGAATGATTTATTCAGTGACTTCTCTCAAGGTATTGATTTTTATTTATAGGTCCACTTAACTTTGATTTGGATAATGATCTGGATAATATCACATTAATACTGAATCCAACCACATGGACACAGGTTCACACATTCATCTTTTCATTATTTTTGTTCTTAAGGTAACCTACCTAGTATACTACTAAAATAAAATAATGATTTTAAGATTAATTTTATATGTTTAGATGGCCAACATCATATTCGTGGATATACCGGCTGGTGCGGGATTTTCCTATGCTGAAACAAAAGATGGATGGATTAGCAGCGACAACATCCTGGCTGATCATGCTAATGAGTTCATAAAGAAGGTCGAACTAAAATTAAACATAATCTAACTTTGGTTACAATAATTCAATGACCTCGTCATATTTTATGATATGGATTAATGAACTTGTGTTTTACTTTAAATAAATTTATTTTGCTTTTCATGTAGCTTTTGAAAAAGGACTTGATATTTTTATTTGGCTTTTTTATTCATACACTTAATAAAATTTTGTTTTTCCTTTTATACCCTTTTCAAACTAGGTTATCAAATCATTTTCTTAATTATTATCAGGCATATTATTTCGCCACTTACTTTTGATTTGCTTCCTGATTTTTACACATTTAAACATATTTAAACACGTCCTTGATTTTGGTTTCCAACATTATCCTTGATTGGTTCTAATTTTATTTTTATTGTCAGTTTTACGTTTTTGTTTTCTTTTAATTCTGATTTTGTTTATACATAACTAAATTAAAGTATGTATAAATAAAAAATAACTAAATTTTGAAGAGAAAATTAAAATAAAAAACCATATAAATAAAAATATCAACACCGTACCGTTGTAAAATTACAAAATTTGGTTAAAATATCTTTGTTTGATTCATTAATTGTCACAATATACATTAATACAAATGTTTATTAGTGGAGTAATCTAAGAGGGTATGAGATTCACAAATATAATAACAGTCACAAACAGTGAAACGATTATTGCAGTGTATAAGTTTGAACAATTTTATGATACACATTAGTTTGATTATAGTATTTGTTTGACAACATCCTATCTAAATAGGATGAATATTTTTTTACTACCGCTATTGCATTGCAAGAAACACTATTTCAAATCGTGTTTCGTGATTGTTATTACTTGTGACCGTGAAATCAGTTTACAGAATGCCATTAATAATTATTTTTACTTAATAAATCAAACCGAGATTTTTAACCAATTCTGATATATGTCGATGGGATGTCAGTATACACTTATATGATTTTTTACATAATTTTTGCTTCAAAATGTTCTTTTATATATATATATATATATATAATAATATATATATATATATATATATATATATATATATATATATATATATATATATATATATATATATATATCAAAAAATTATATTAAAGTAAAAATCAAATCAATAAACGGTCAGATTGAGAAACCAAAATCAAGGACGTATGTTTCCGGTTCAAATGTATAAAAGTCAAAATAAAGAATAAAGATAGATTATCAAAAAAGACGGGGGAATAAATCATGTGAATTGTGAAGAAAGGGATCACTCATCCTTCAATTAAAAAGAGGTTTTTATAAAAGTGGTTATCATTCGAAGGGGATAAAAGAAAAAACACAAACTTATTAAGTGGATGGATAATATATATATAACATGTTAATTTAGTTTATGCATATTTGTTTTGTATTTAAATAATCACATATTGATTCAAGTGAGAAAACATATTCATATGTAAATATAACATGTTAATTTAGTTTATGCATTTCATCAAACAATTGGAATGCATATAAGTTAATTTTTTTTAAAATGTGATAAATATGATACTTTGACTACTTAAATCTTACAAAATAGTAGATTGGTGGAGAAATATATGAAAATTTCAAACAAAAAGTGATTTGATCTTTTTATAACCTTAATTTCGATGTTTTATTTGATGAACGATGTTGAATGAATGATACAAATTGAATTTTTTTGTTGATTATCGATGATGTTTTTCTAATGATGCTGGAAGTATAATTAACCGTAGATATTAAAGATATGTTCGTATTCAAACAAAATTGAAGGTTGGATTGAAAGAGCAAAAAACGAATGAATTTCTACTGTTCGTATTTGTGATTGAAGGCTGTTATATCATATTTACAAGTTTGTTATCGTATCCTTCATGTTTAGAGTCTAATTAAATGAGTGGCTGAGAATGATACCCCCTTTTTTCAACCTTTTTTATTTTCTCAATTGAACTCATATATATATATATATATATATATATATATATATATATATATATATATATATATATATATATATATATATATATATATATATATAAAGTAATTGTCAACGAACCTTTTTATGACTTTTAAACAGTTTAATACATGAGTAGTTCTTTATATTCAACTAGCACCAAATAACGTTTTAGAACCTATATTTTGGGTGTCTTTTAAAATTCTTTATTTTGAAAGACGCATTCTAGTTGCTTGATTCACACTTCTATCAATTAGCGGTTATTAGTTAAATGCTTTGGGTTGAATGTTTTTACTTTATCTTGTGAACAGTTTCTCAATGATCATCCCAAATTTTTGAAGAATCCACTTTATATAGCAGGGATTTCATACATTGGTATTGTTGTTCCAAAAATCACTCTAGACTTGTATGAAGGTAATTATATTAGTAACTTCTTTTTCAATATTTCATTTTGACGTTTGATGAAAAAGTTGAGGTATTGGATCATTTTATAAATTTATAGGTAATGAGCGTGGGGATCAACCGACATTGAATATTCAAGTAAACATGAAACCAAACCCTCTAAGATTTATAATGTCATCTTTTTTATAATAACTAATAACTTAGTAAATCCAAGACGTCTTAACAAATTAATAAATTATCTTTTATATTGATAAATTTGAATGTAGGGGTATATTCTAATCAGTCCGCTTTACTGATAAGTTCATGGATTTCAATTCAAGACTTGAATATGCTCATCGTATGGCACTTATATCAGATGATATTTATAAGGTAATTTTTTTTTAGTTTTTAAAAACCTAAAGTTAAACCGTTACTACTGTTAATTAATTTTATAAACTGATATTGTTTTGCAGTCTGCAATAAAAAATTGTTATGGTAACTACGTGGACATTGATAAAGCTAACTCATTATGTGTAAATAGTCTGCATCAATATGAGCAAGTGAGAATTATGAACTGCTTTATTAATATAATAAGATATCTTTGAACATGATATGTATTGCCATGACAATTACAACTTGCAGTGCACATGCCGTATCAATATGGATAATATTTTAGAACCATTTTGTGACGAAAATGATCCAATGCCAGATTGTCAAGTAATCTCTCTCTCTCTCTCTCTCTCTCTCTCTAATATATATATATATATATATATATATATATATATATATATATATATAATATATATATATATATATATAGGTTCAGGTTCATTTGAGATCATTCTAATTTTGTGAAACCGTGAGACAAAATTTAAAAATAATTTTAAAATGCAAAATAAATGGAAAAATCCAAAAATTCTTTTTTTAAATATTATTTTCAGAACTTGAATTACCTAAAAAAAATAATAATAATAAACAATAAAAAATAAAAAAATCCCGTTTTTTTTTTTTTTTTTTTTGAAAAATACGTAAAATATTCTAATAGAATATTATAGTAACATATTTTAAAAAATAATTTTAAAATGCAAAATAAATGAAAAAATCTAAAAATTCTTTTTTTAAATATTATTTTCGAAACTTGAATTAACTAAAAAAAAAAAAAAATTGTATTGTTTTTGAAAAATACGTGAAATATTCTAATAGAATATTACACTGTATATATTCTAAAAAATAATTTTAAAATGCAAAATAAATGGAAAAATCCAAAAGTTCTTTTTTTAAATATTATTTTCGGAACTTGAATTAACTAAAAAAAATAAAAAATAAATAAAAAATAAATAAATAAATGCATCTCACGGTCTCACAAAATTAGACCGTCTCACATCAACCTAAACATATATATATATATATATATATATATATATATATATATAATATATATATATATATATATATATATATATATATATATATATAAGTTCGGTTCATGTGAGAACTCGTTTTAACGTGAGGGCTCGTGAGAACACCTTCAAAAAATTGAAACAAAATCTAAAAAAAATAAAAATCATAAAATCAAGCATAAATCTATGTCCGGGAGAAAAAAAAAATTGGAAAAAATTGCATAATTAAAATTGATCCAAAAATTTTTCTCCGGACATAGATCTATTATCGATTTTATGATTTGTATTTTTTTAAAATTTTTTTAAAATATCCTCACGAGTTCTCACTTTAAAAGGAGTTCTTATTTCTCTCTCTCTCTCTCTCTCTCTATATATATATATATATATATATATATATATATATATATATATATATATATATATATATATATGAAGTGGTTCAAATAAGAACCTAAAAAGATTATGAACTCTAATAATATCATTTTTTAACTGTTTTCATTAAGGACATTTTACACAAATCCAATATTTATATTCTATTAAGCAAAATTTCCCAATTTTACAAACTACTTGCCACGTATCGTCTAACCACCGCCGGACCGTCGTTGAATTACTGCCGAACTAATATTAAATTCAGTGTCATTTTTATGGTTCCGTTCACAACTTAATAGAACAAACATTGTAGCTTCTATTTTTTTCATAACGATTTTTATTTTTCAAGCTAAAATATACAAAAGTTTATTATAAAAAAATAGAATTGTGTCTTGAAATCAATTTTCTTTTTTCTAAATTGTAGATTGCTTAAAAAATATATTATATATAAGAAATATTCACAGTTGAATAAACGTAATAATTCACTAATACACATTTTAATATTTTCATGCATACTTATTCATGTTGTAACACAAAATTTATATACAATATACAATTTAATACAGTTTAGTTTAATATATAAAATTCACAGGATAACATAATAAAATACATTATACACTAATTAACATATTCAAAGAAGTCAAACCCAAACTCTCACACCAACACCACGACCAACTACATACGCCACCAACAACCACCTACGCCACCTCGAAATCATCATTCCTTCTAAATCAAATATGTATATAAAATCATTGATCGAAAAACTTAGATACTATATTCACAATTTAACAAACCAAATATTTCACTTATTCACAATTTAATTCAAAATAATTTTAAAAACAAATACATTCTTACATATTTATATAGCGCAAAAAGTAAATATATTCATAAGAAAATTAATACAAACATTCATACATAAATCACTCATATTTTAACAAAAAATTCTTTAAAATTCATATCTTAATACAATCAATTCATATTTCAGTGCACAAAATTCAAAGGTTAATATAATAAATTTACAATTTAATGCACAAATTAAACATTCAAAGCCATAATCTCAACTTAAAACTTACATGTATATCTTTAGATCTCTAAGCTATTGCTTCTTTCAAAGTTTATCTATACAAATATTATAATTTATTTTTTACATACTTTATTCAAAATTAAATAACATCATATTTGTATATAATTCTTCTTTAATCTTTATATTTCAGTAGCAAACAAAAAATTTATAAAAAAAATCATAGCTTAATATAACCAATTCACAATTTATTACACAAAATTTACAGCTTAATGTAGTCAATTCACAGTTTAAACAGAAAGTCACAGTTTAATACGATCAATTTACAGTTTAAACACACAAAAAACACATCTTCACGCACAAAAATTCACAGCTTAGTTATGTAATAAATGTAATAAATTCACAGTTTAATACACAATAATTATGCATTCACAACCATATTATCAACTTAAAACTCTTAATACAGTCAATTCATAATTTAATATACAAAATTCACAACTTAATAGAAAAAATTAATAGTTTAATAAATAAAATTCATAGCTTAATATAGTCAATTCTCAGTTTAAAACATAAAATTCTCAGCTTAATATAGTCAAATCACAGTTTAAACAGAAACATCACAACTTAATGTAGTTAACTCATAGTTTATAACACAAATATCCCATTTTAAATGTAACATTACCATAACTAAACAACTAGCGAAACATGAAAACATCACGATTCACAACTTAAACTACTTAGATTCATATTATTTTGAGAAAACATAACATTCCCAGCTTAACAAAAGAAAAACAGTCAAATCAAAAATCGACATACCTGATGTAGATTTAGTGGTGTTTCAGCGAGGATTCTAGAGAAATAGATGGAAGTGAGTTCCACCGGAGTGGCAAGGAGCAATGGTGGTTGCGGTCGACGACAATCTCCGATCTGGTCTGTCAATCTCGTCGTAAATCATAGATCTAGAGGCAAAAATCATATATTTGTTGTCGGATATATTTGCGGTCGACGATGATAGATTTGGACCGAACCACTTTAGATCTGATGAAAACAGAGGATTTTAAAGGTCAACGACATGCAACGGTGGTTGGTAGAGGAGGTGTTAGACCAAATCTGAACAGATCTGGTGGTGTTTCACGGAGATTAAGAGAAAAAAGATGGAGACAAGAGAGATGTGTCACCGGAGCAAGATCTAGTAACTCAATATCACCAGGGGTAGATCTAGAGATGTAAATCAAAGATTTCTTGGCAAAAATCATAGACTTGTCGTCAAAGATCATAGATCTACTACTAGAGATTGTAGATCTATAATGAATCACCACAAATTTGATGAAAACGAAAGATTTTGGAGGTCGAAGACACATATCAACGGTAGGTGGAGGTGGTGGTGGACCAGATCTGAAAAAATCTAGTGGTGTTTCATGGAGATCGAGAAAAAAAAAAGAATGCGGGTGGAGATGTGTAACTGAAGCAACGTCATAAGAGTGGTTGGGTTGCAGTGGTAGAAGTTGCTTCAGGCTGAAAGTAGGTGGTGGTGGTGGTTAGTGGCGGCACCGAAGTAGCTGGTGGTGGTGGAAAGTCACTGGAGGTAGGAGGGAGAGGAAAAGATATTTAGTGAGAGAAAGGAAGAATAAGGTTTTCTAGATCTAATGGTTTGATATGGTATTTTCAAGTTTCAAATGAAATAATGTGTTTGTAACAAAAATGTTCTTTATATGAATTATAAAACATCTAACTAAGAAATGACTAATTATAAGCTAAAATTAGAGGTTCTTAGAGTTCTTAATATTTTTTTGTTTCTTATTTGAACTTGTACATATATATATATATATATATATATATATATATATATAATATATATATGAAGCTATAAGAAATTAAGAAATAACAATAACGAAACTTAATAAGATCGTAGTTGACCATTAATACGAGGGTTAGCCATTTTCACCCTTACTTAAGGAGCCTTTTTTTTATCTTAGTTTCTTAACTATAAGTTTTGAATGTATGATCTACTTATTCTATAAGCAGTTTTACTGACACTCTTGTTAACCTTTTGAATGATGTGATTTTTCACATAAGATAATTATAGTAACTTACATCCTAGCCGGTGGGTATGGTTCATCCCTTTCATGCTAATTTACTGCAGCCTTGAATGCCATGTTACTCTCCACACCATACCAAATTTGTTATGAAATACCCATCACACTATCTTAATAGTTTAATTAAAAGATTAATTGTTTCTTTTGCAAAAAATTGGAAATCCATCAAACATTATTCCTTCACCAACATTTCCCTACACTAAGTCCCCATGATTTTCCACGATGCGTTTAGGGGACGGTAGTTCCAGCATGGCCACGTTGCTGAGGCCTTCCACAAAAGTTCCTCCATACAGTGGAGGTCCCATGCCTAGTTGCCTAAATTTCTAATTATTTTAAATGTGGTGATTTTTGTTTAAATTATATCAATTTGAGTACCATATCCTAATAAGATTGATTGATTTATATGAATTAGGTAACGAAAAAGGTGTTGGCATATCCTAATAAGATTGATTGATTTTATGTTGATGATCAAGTTGGGGGGTGAGATTTACCTATTTATAGCCCAATTATTTTAATATATGGGACCTAATTCATTTGGCTTTTAACACATCGGGCCTACAATATATATGCATACTAATATATGATGTGTTTTAAAGCCATGATGACAAACAATCTCATAAGAACTCTATAATTAAACGTGTTCGGATGAAAGTAGTATTAGGATGTGTGACCTCTTGAGAAGTCTTCATGTCCGGTGTCCCAAAGAGGACAATATATTGGTATGTTTGGATATGTATGTTACAAATGAAGTATCATTATTCCCCTTAGGGAGCCAAGTAGTTAAGGAGTGAAATTTCAGAAAAGAGGTCAAGGGTTCAAACCCTGGCATTCCCAAAATATTGTTACTGATATGTGATTGACCTCCCCTGTGTGC